CCGCCGCCGCCCCGCTCAGCGCCCCGAGTCGTCGGAAAAGGAGCCCCGCGGCTGCCCGGGCGCCCATTCTCAGCCCCGCGACGTGAACCAGGAACGACCCGCTTCCGCCTCTTGGCGCGCCTTAACCAATCAAAGCTCGCGGCGCCTCCTTTACATGCAGACTCCTCCCCCTCAGAACGTCGCGTCTTAGCCAATCATAGTCCGCGGGTCTTTCCTCGGCGCAAGAGGGCAAGAGGGAGACTTTCTACCGCATCGAGGCGTTCGGATCCGGGCAGCCAATAGGGACCGTCGCTTCGCCAAGTGCGAGACCACGCGATTGGAGCACTGGTTTGCCCAATGAGAAGAAGGATCCCGCCTTCCCCCCCCCTCCGTCCTCTCCCTTGCGCATACTCATTCTCCCGATAGGTTGCGGCGAAGTCCATCACAGCGCAGTAGCCAATCCCAACGGCGGAAAGGCGGGCGAAGCGAGTTCCTTCCCCCCCGCAATTTAAAGGCACAGGGAGGCGGAATTTTTTTTCCCCCAAAAAAGGAAAATGCGTCGCTTTTAGAATCCATACGACAAACGCCGAGGACTAGAAAAGGAGGAGGCTGTATTGACAACCAATCAATCCGTTTATTAAAATGACTTTCCTTACTTAGCTTCAGCACAATCTCAAGGCTTTGGGACAAAAAAGGGGCGGGGGGGCAAAAATTAGGATATTTACGGTAACCCATATCTCTGTCTCTCTGCCGCCCCCTAGCAGAAGAAAAATAAATTAACATGCGTGTTTTTCCCTGGAAAATGTAGTTCAAATGGGAAGCGTGCCCTCTTTCCACGCTTCTCCTCCTCCCACAGGCTGTATCTGAAGGGGAAAAGGGTGGATAGCTGTAGCTATAGCTTTGGGGGAAGAGTCGCGTGGGTTTTTTTTTTGAGTGGGGATTACAAACCCCAGAATCCCCTTGCCAGCAGCCTGGGGGATTATGGGAGTTGTAGTCCGGCCTCCCACAAAAAGCATGCTCTGGAGCGTCAAAAAATCCAGATTTATTTATTTATTTATTTATTGGTCACCTGGCTCCTTCCTTACCTGGGGATTATGGGAGTTGTAGTCCGTCCTCCCACAAAAAGCATGCTCTTCTGGAGCGTCAAGAAAAATCCAGATTTTTTTTTTGGCTCCTTCCTTAAAGTCCCCTTATCATTCTCAATGTTGTTGATTTTTTGTTAAAAAAAATGTCACTGTGACCAGTGTTTTGCAGAGAGACGGCCATCCGCGTGCAAAGCGAGCCGATCCTAATTATGGGAGTTGTAGTCCGTCCTCCCACAAAAAGCATGCTCTTCTGGAGCGTCAAGAAAAATCCAGATTTTTTTTTTGGCTCCTTCCTTAAAGTCCCCTTATCATTCTCAATGTTGTTGATTTTTTGTTAAAAAAAATGTCACTGTGACCAGTGTTTTGCAGAGAGACGGCCATCCGCGTGCAAAGCGAGCCGATCCTAAAAATCCACTATCAAGAAAAAGCGTGCGTGCCTTTTTTTTTTTTTAACCCCTCTTTCCTCCCGGGAAAATGGGCTTTTCATAGGGTTGCCCACCAGAGGGCGCCCAAGGCCCGCGGCAGCCACTCCGGATTTATTCCGTGTTAATTGCTGGTTTGGGTCCCTCCGTCTCCGGGTGGGGGGGCAGCTGCGCAGCGATGCTCAAGGCTGCAAGGACCGCCCCGCTTAAGAAGGCTGCTGGCTTGCTTGCTTTCTCTCTCTCTCTCTCTCCCTCTCCTCCACGGATCGAATCAGCTTCAAGAGAGTGATTAAATTCTGCAAAAATATACCCAGGGATGAAATCAGATTGGAAGGGGGGGCAGGTTGGGCTTTGTTCTTCCACAGGGGCGGAAGGCTGACGAGGGAAAGCCGAGCACCTGTTCCAAGATGACCATCTGCTGCCTTAAAAAAAATTAAAATAAAAAATCAGATTAAATATAAAGCATTTCCCTTGGAAACAGAGGGGGGGGGAACAATTGGCTCGTCAAACGGACACGAGAGGCTTTTTTTCAGAGCATCCAGCCCTTTTTCTAATTGATTAACATCCCCGATCGATGCAACAGGGCCACCGATGAAAGGGTGGTGGCAAAGGCCGGCGGCGGCCCTCTGCCCTCCTGTCTTGTAAGCAAAGTTCAGTGACATGCAACCCTCCGGAGAGGAGGAGGAGGAGGAGGAAGACGACGGCCACTCCTCACATCCCCGTCTCCTTCCAGCCTTGAATCCCCCACCAGCCCCACTCAAAAAAGGCCGGGGTGGGGTGGGTGAAGGATGCGCCCATGTTACACCAAAGGCGCCACGTGCCCTCAAGTCAGAAGAGCCGACCTCTAGCGACTCTAAAAGGCCTTTCAAGATGAGCGAAATATTTAAGGAGTGCCTTTGCCGGTTCCAGATCTCCAAGGAGCTTCCTTGTCTGAGGTGGGATTTGAACCCTGGGATCCAGAGTCCTAGATCATCTTTCTGTCCACTACACACAGCAGGGGTGTTGGCAAGTCTTCAGACACGAGTTCAAGTTCAAGCCTGGATCGTTGGGCCCAAATCCCAAGACCAAGTGATTGGGCCCGAGCCACAAGACGCTGCGCATGTGCCGCCCAGCTGATAGGCTGGGTCCTATGTGTGCAGAGACCATAGACCTGGAAGGGGCACCGGGCGGGCACATGCGCATGTTGAGAGAAAGCAGGCCGACTTCTCTTCCCAGAGCCGGCCCCTGCCTCTGCGCATGTGCCGACCTATCAGCTGGGCAGCAGCCGGCTCCTGTAGGGGAAGCCAAGTCTGCTGCTTCTGAGGAGGATGATGGCAGCAGCAGTGGTAGTGGTGGTAGGGAGGCCCATGCCTGAAATGGGGACTCGGAACATGACGCAGTTGAGGCAGAGCGCAACTTAAGTCGGGACTGGCCATCCCGGCTACACAGGTAGAAAACGTTGGGGCGACACCTCCCAGCCAATGACCAGGGACTGGGGGACCCATCGTCCTGAAACAGGGACTTTTTTGATCTCTGTGCTCCACCCCTACGTAGGCCCCCCACGTCAGCAAGTCTTGAATAGTGACCGGCTTTCTGCCCCTGTTGCCACGGGGGAGCCCCTCGGAGTGAAGAGATGGAGTCCAGGAATCAATACAGCATTATTAGACTTTGCAACCTGTGTTGGAATTGGAGGAACGAAAGCTTCTGCGAAAAGAAAAGAAAAGAAAAGAAAAGAAAAGAAAAGAAAAGAAAGAAAGAAAGAGAAAGAAAGAAAGAAAGAAAGAAAGAAAGAAAGAAAGAAAGAAAGAAAGAAAGAAAGAAAGAAAGAAAAGAAGACTGCCGTTGTGAAGTTGGTGGGATGCGTCACAGCTCTGGAAAAAAAGGGTCAACGGGAGTGGGCATTGAGGAGAACCCAGACATTGTGAAGTCGGTGGGATGCGGCACAGCTCTGGAAAAAGAAGGGTCAACGGAAGTGGGCATTGAGGAGAGCCCAGAAGTGTGTGTGTGTGTGTGTGTGTGTGTGTGTGCGTGCGCGCGCATGCGTGCAGAATCCTTAGCAGGTCACCCAAGGGGCTGAATAAACCAGGATTCCCTTGGCTTGAGACCCAGACTATATATATCTTTCCTTTTGAAGGGATCCGGAAGCAAGCCAATGGAAAACTGGACCGGAGAGAAGGGCCATCAAGGCACAAGAGTGCCTGGAATCCAAGCGCATTGCCTTGTTAATGTTTGTGTTGTGCTCTGACACAACACCCTCCTCCCGTTGGCCCAAGGGAGGTGCAAAGGGAGGGCCGGGTGCGAACTGCATTCTGCTGTTAATGTCACCTCGGCCTTCTCCTCTCTTGCGATTCATCCAAGCTTTGCTGGTTGTAATTTTAGCTCTACAGTATTTGAAGGAACAACCTGGGGGCAAATATAGTCATACAGCAATCACCTTTGAACCGCAGAGCTGGAAGGGACCCTCTGGATCACTGGGTCCAGCTCCTCTCGAGGAGGCCCAGTGGGGGAATCGAACTCCCAACCTCTGGCGCTGCAGCCGGAGACGTAAAGTCACGGATCCGTCAGCTTGGCAGGGGGAAAGTCCGAGAACAGATTCTGAAACACCTTCAGATCCTTAAGCCTGTCAGCATTTAGAAAATAATGC